TGGAGACAGACATGGAAACTACCAGGTAATATCACTCAATAACACCCTGTGTCAACCGTGTAGCCTGTTAGCCTTTCACTCCACTGCCACCTGCAGTGGAGCACACCACATATGTGGCGTACACAGAGATGGTCCTGACGGTTCTACCAACATCCCAGGAGCCATGGATCACTGGAATTCTGAACCAGCCCCATATGGGCGAAAGCAGAGCTGAGATTCCAAGATGCCCATAGCCTAACTCGAGATGATTGTCACAATCAAACTGGCAAGCATGCCATTTATCAGTTGGCTGGTTTACTACCAAAGCTAAGCCTTGTAAATAATTAATACAGATGCCAAGCATTAACCAAAGTATCAATACCTATTTTAACCACATTGGTCTGATGACATGCACTTTTTTTTAAACTTCCTAATAACTGGTTTGACTCATTATAAAAGTAATATACAAGGCTGGATTCGGTGGCTCACACCTGAAATCTCAGCTACTCAAGAGGCAGAGATTGGGAGGATCACAATTCAAGGCCAGCCCATGCCAAGTGTTAGCAAGACCCCAATCTCAACAAAGAAGCTGGGCGTGGTGGAGCATGCCCTTCATCCTGGCCATGCAGGAGGTGTAAATAGAAAGATCGTGGAGCCTGGGCAAAACGCAAGACCCTATCCAAAAAATAACTAAAGCAAAAAGGGCTGGGGTGTAGCTCAAACACAAGAGCTCCTGCCTACCAAGCATGAAGCTGAGTTCAAACACCAGTACCACCAAAAAAAAAAAAAAAAAACTCCTATACATCCATTATAGACAAGGTGGAAAATACAAAGAAAAATTTCAAAAGGTTATTAAAATCACCCTGCATCCTACCACCAGACATACATTCTCTGAATTTCAGTTTTCTTCCAGTCTCATTTCTATGGACACAGATGTGTGTCTACATGTGTTCGTAGGTTTCAGCATGCTGGAGCCTTGCTGAAGCCAAAACTTCAATCGTACCCCTGGGAGATGGGAGTAAGTGTGAGTACCTTCATCAGAGAAAAGTCCAGCTCAGCCACCCAGAACCTGCACTCCAGCAGAGAACTTCCTTCCCCTTCTTGTCGTGCGAGGTGACACTAATGAAGTCACACGTGATGGAATTTTAGGGTGAGTCACATGCTTGCCATGGTGTTTGGGCAATGCCAAGGGTCAAGCGTGCTGTAGGAGGGTGCTTTTTCCTGCTTGGAACTCGGTGCTGTTCCTCTCCATCTGTATCTCAGCAATACAGGAACACATAGGTGCTTCATAAATCTACTGCCATGCGCTATAAAAAGCAGTGTGGAGACACCAAACTGAATAAACACAGCTGGCGTGCAGTAAAAGTATTTAGATAATTCGTGTATTTATTTTGTTCTTTCATATCCCATACTATAAGAGGACCTAATACAGAATAAATGTTGAATGAAAGATGACTATTATGAACTGAGACACTGAAATAATTTCCGCAGATCCCCAGGAAAAGCGCCACCAATATAATGGAAAACTTCAAAATTATACTACGTGCCATTGATATAGAGGGAGTAAATTAAATTTCTGGATATTTTATAGTCTTGGGTTCTGCAGACCAGGCAGCCTGGCTCAGCAGCGACACCTTGTGGTGAAAGGCCTGATGCCCAGCAGCAGAGTATTTTATAGGAAACAGAAAGTGCACACAGGCAGGAGGTAAATCAAGGTTCTTTTTGTAACTTAACCCAGGGGGGATGGAAGAGATCTATGAAGCAGGGCTGTAGGAAAGAAAACCAAACAGAAAGTACGAACCAATTCTAATTTCTTTGGTCTGTATCTGCAAATACTGAACCAACGGCACAGTAACTAGAATGTTCTGAAAAGTCTCAGCACCAAGGCAAGAGCAAAGAAATCATCTGGCCGCTCCCAGAAAGACCATCTCAGTCCCTACGTGTCCATTTTCAAAATCATTTGCGTGACACTCATTTAGAGAACCTGTATCCCAGAAAACAGTAAAAGTCCTGACTTCTGACATTACCACAGACTCAAGCTCATCCCGGAGGAGTTAATAGACATTAAGAAGTGGGGGTGTACGACAATCACACATACTCACTGAGCTCTTTTAGCTCCAGAAATAAAACAGAATGCTGTCGGAAATGAGCAACTGGGAAGGAAAAGCGGTCCACAGAACACACGTCTAAGAAGACTGACCAGACCAAGGCAGGACCAAAAAGAGAAGTGGGCATTTCTGAAAAGTATTCTTTTCCAAGATTATTCTGCGACCAGGGACTGATGGGGAGTGCTTGTGTATGTGTATATGGAACAAAAATTTGCCTTCATCTTGTTCAAGCATTTAATTCCCACGGTTTGTGAATGGACGAATTACTATTCCCCTAATCAATGGATCGATAAGAGAAAACACACACACCCCACTGGCTGTCCCAGACAGTTTAAAGATCTGAAATGACAGACAAAAATATAAAACTCTGTGTGTGTGTGTGTGTGTGTGTGTGTGTGTGTGTGTGTGTGTGTTTTGTTTTCGGCAGTACTAGGGTTTGAACTCAGGGTCTCCCACTTGCTAGGCAGGCATTTTACCATTTGAGACATGCCTCAGCACTTTTTTGCTTTAGTTATTTTTCAAATAGGATCTTGTGTGTTTTGTTCAGGGCCAGCCTAAGACCATGGTCCTCCTACCTACGGCTTTCCATGTAGCTGGGATGATAGGCATGCACCACTACACCCAGCTTGTTTGCCGACATGGGGTCTCACTAACTTTTGGCCCAGGCTGGCCTCAAACTGTGATCCTCCCAGTCTCTACCTCCTGGGTAGTTAAGATTGCAGGCATGAGCCACCAAGCCCAGCCTGTTGTGTTTTGATATAAGCAGGCACATGACACAATAGGTATTTCAGGTTATGCTTGTCCTAAAAAACACACTAGAAAAGCTTGGTGTTCCAAATGTCTGCTCACAGGAAAATAACCTACCACCAATCTTTCCTCTCCATTTCTTTTACCAAAAGTCCAAAGGTCCAAGTCCAAGGACCAACATGATGATCAGAAATGCAGCCAAGGGCAAAGCTGGTCTATCTTACTCCCCAAGCCTCCATGAAGCAGACAGGTACTTCCTCACATCTCCAGCTCAACTCTCCTTGCTTAGGAAAAAAGGCAAGGAGGAAGCCTAGGAGAAACAGTCACATTTTCCTGGGGACCAGCAACCTTTACCCATGTGGCCTGGCCCCCTTCCTCCAAGGTAGATTGGTTATAGGCCTTAAAGCTTGACTGGCTTTGTTTTGCTATTTTAGTACGTCACAAGATAAAAGGATGCTTTTCCTTGCAACAACTGAACACACATAAGTGATGTGAAGTTTTGAATCCCTGAGGTCCCAAAGCACTCATCAGAAACCGTGTAAACTAGCTAAAAACTAGGTAATGCAATTGTAATAAAAGAAGTTTCTTTAAATAAAAAAAATCCATTGCTATAGCATTAACTTTTTAATTTACAAACATTGCCTTTAGTCTTTTTAGATGAAGTACCAGAGACTTACTCAGGCATAGTATCTGCTTTTAAGTCATTCAACCTCCCAACACCAAACAATAATAATAATAGCTGCCTTATCATTTAAAACACACACTTTACATAAACTCTCACATATACTATTTCTTTTAGTCTTCAGATAACCCTGGAAGATATCCCTCAGTCTTACATCTGTCTTTCCAAGTAAGCACAGGCACCTACATAGCTGGAAGCCCTGCTCTCCTCTGGAGACCAAGCTCGCCAAAGGAAGGAGTCTAACCCGAAAGGAAACGCCTCGCCTCCTCTTTTAAGAGCATTGGGGTGCAGGCTGTATTTTGCTCTTTTCAAGGGAAAACAGGTAATTTCGGTCTGTAGAGTCACCTGGACTTCTGAGTATGTGCTGAAGCTGCGTGTTTATGTCACTAAACTCACAGAGTTGCCTGTTACAGGGAGACAAGTGTCACAATGAATAGGAAACTGACAGCATGTCACAGCGAGGGGATTAGCAAGAACACACCTGGAAGCTGGCGGCCTGCCCAAAACTGGGCATCAACCTCAGGCAACAAATGCAAACAAGGCCAAGAGAATTCCAGAACACATTCCCAACTCCAGGGGCATTTTCCTCTTAGACACAACCGGCAGACAGGCCTGAAATCCAGAACCCTTTTGCCACAAGATGGCACACGTCAGCACAAATCAAACAGAAGTCATGATTTCCCCATCCAAAGATTTGCCGAGAAAAACCTAGATCAAAAGAACTGGTTTTGATCCCAAATGCTTAGTTTCCAAACACAGTCATTCCTGAGTGTCCACAGGGAATTGACTCCACCCCCCCTCCACGGATACCAAAATCCATAGATGCCCAAGTTCCTTATATAAAACAGCACAGCATTTGACTATAACCTGTGTATACCTTCATATATGCCTTAAATCATCTCCAGATCACTTATAAAGCTAATGCAATGTAAGTATTATGTAAATAGTTGTTATACTGAACCATTCAGGGAATAATGACAAGAAAAAAGTCTACACGTGTTCAGTACAGATATGATTTTTTTTTTCAAATATCTTTGAGCTGCAGTTGGCTGAATCGACAGCTGTGGAGATGGAAGATAACAGTACACTATTGACACACACAACAAGGGATCCTCCTTCTCGTAAAAAAGGCAACACAGCCTGCTAGACATGTGGGCTCACACCTGTAATCCCAGCTCTCAGGAGGCTGAGGCAGGAAGTTCTCAAGTTGGAGGCCAGCCTGGGTTACCTAGTGAGACCTTGTCTCAAAAAACGGGCAGGGGGCAGAACCTGTAGGCTTCACACCTTCTCGTTTCAAAGTCTTCACTACCTTGCTTTTATACAAACACCAACACTTACACATTACTAACATGGTATCCAAACCCAAAGTCAAACAGAAATGGAAGATCAAAATAGAAACTAAAGATCCAAATCAAGGAAACACAGTGATGAAGGAAAAGGGCCACCCTGAAGCATGCTCTTCCCAGCCACGCTCAGAAACCCACCTCAGTGGCCGACAGTAAGTACAGAGGTGTTAAGGCAGGAACTTGTCGTATGTCACAGCTGAGGCCCAGGGTGGTCAGGATCTCTTTAAGGACTTCATATCTTCTCAAATTGCTTGACTTGAGCAAATTAAATTCTTCTTGAGTTTGCACTATGTGAGAGCTGGGAGGCAATTCTAAATGCACCTGAGGAAAGAGAGGCCACTGGTGAATCCGGGGCACTTACAGACACTACAAGAACCCGCTTCTGTGCCGGGTTTTCAGGAAACTTGACATGAATTCTTGTCCATATCAGCAGCATAGAAACCCTGAACCTGAATATCTGCAAAGTAACAGCAAGCAACAAAGAGAATAAAAAGATTAGAAAGGGCCTCTTAAAACTGGGGCTGCCAGGATATGAGGCCATGGTGAAACTGACCCTAGACAGTCATCCAGCTCTCTCCACGTTGTGATTTTTATCACCAACAGTCATGTGACCTTGGGCAAGTCACTTATCTTGGACGGAAACATTTGGAAACACAGTTTGCTGACACCCCACCTGAAGACACTACTTAACTCAGGGAGGCACAATGGGTCACGCTGGAAACTTCCACCTACCCACCAGCCAGAACCAGAAACAAAACCTGAGAGGAGACTAGCGTATTTATCATTTTAAGAGTGTTTGCAGAGGCCAGGGGGAGGGGGGTGGGTTATGGCTCAAGGGGTAGAGCACCTTCCCAGCAAGCACAGGCCCTGAGTTCAAACCCCCAGGACCACAAAAAAAAAGTCTAAACTTGAGTTAAAAGTATTTCAGGAATTCAAACAGCCAGAATGCAGCTTCCCTGATACCCTCCTTCATCCGACTGAGTTCTAACTATTGGAACTTTCTCTATTTAGTCAGGCTTTGCTGTCCAGATAAAATTAAAGTATCTCTACTCATCAATATCTCTGTCTTGAATGAAAGAACAAGTGGAACTTCTAGCTCCCTTGAGAGCAGATTTTAATTGGGTGTTGCAACCCTCAGGAGCCAGAATAGTGAGTACCCAGAAATACCTGAGCTTTTTTGCTTTATTTTGGTTTTACTAACCGTATACAAAGCTTCTAACCTGAGCATTCAGACAATAAAAAGCAAGATGCCAGCCCCAGGCAACTACAAATGTCTTAACTCCCACCCAAGCCTAACCAATCCAAATATACCACCCAGACACACCGTGCACGTGGTCCAAATGTTGAACACTGAGGCCAATCTCAAGAAGTGGGCAGAACACTGTCCACCACGGTCCCCAGCCGCACTGGGGCAGCTATGGGCTACTGTTCACTCATGACTGAGCACACCATCACTGGGCAACAGGTGGCCCATCCTCCAAACAGCCCTGGAGAGGGAGAAGGAGGTGGACTTCTAAGGCATGTGTGTCCTACCCAGTCTCCTTCACTCTAAGTATGAGCTTCTGCTCTCAGGTGGACAGAGCCAGCTGGCTGGACACTCAGCACAGAGTGAGTCCCACTTCATCCACCTGAGCACACAGCCATTCAGAGGTTAACCCCTGCGAGTGGCACAAATAAAATGAGCAAAGTTCTATTCCCACCAGTGCTCATTGAAAGAGAGGGGTGAGAGAGAGAGAGGAAGGGAAGGGAAGGGAGAGGAGAAAGAAAAGGGAAGGAAGGAAGGAAGGGAGGGAGGGAGGGAGGGAGGGAGGAAGAGAGGAAGGGAGGAAAGAAGGAGGGAGGGAGGGAGGGAAGGAAAGGGAGAAAGGAAGAAAGGAAGAAAGGAAGGAAGGAAGGAAGGAAATAAGTTTAGGTGCTTCTACAATGGTAACAGAAAAGGAGGCCTCCTCTGGTGATGACCTTTATTAGTAACAGTCAGAATGGCACACTACAGGGTGTGTATTGTGATTTCCACTCCTGGTCCTCTTGGTACCAGACAGAAGTCTCATCCTCTGCTTGCAGTGCTGTTTACCGTAGTTACGTATGTAATTTGGCTTTCTCTAATGTAAGGCTCTTCAGCTGGACTGGGAGCCAGAAGTACAAGCATCTCCAGCTACAAATTCAGGGTTCTAGCATCTGTTAGGTAGAGCCCAGGGATGCCACTAAACACCCTGAAATCACCCCTTACCACAAAGAATACTCTGGCCCACAATGTCAATGGGACCATGGTGGAGAAACGCCGCTATAAAAAGGGAAACACTACTGCCCAAGAGTTAAGCTGAATAAGAAAACAAAATCTTTTAAAATCCATTTTGGAGCTTTAATTAGACAACTTCATGTCAGACTCCTGGCATCAAATATCAGCATTAATCCCCAGCCTTGTTTGTTTTCCACAAACTCAATCAATACAGCATCATTTGAACGTTCCCTCTATTATTCTAACTTAAAGGCAGGGAACACACAGCAGACTTGGCCCCAACACCCCCACCTAGCTCAGCTCTGTGTTGCCCTTGAAGCATTCTGACTCCTCTTACTGGGTTACATCGTTACTAGATTTATTACGAAGATGAAGACTATGAAATTGAACAGAGAAAGAGGAAACTAACCAGCCTGTAATAATATTTATTGGTTGATCTCAGAGAGGTATCACAGTGACACAGGCCAAGGAGAAACAGTGACCCTATCACACAAAGACTGGAAGTCATTTAAAATAAAAAATGACATTCTAATCCTCTGAATCTGATTTGTGAACCTGCATCATATTGCCTTTTTTTCCTAGGGAAATGCACTGCAGTATCAAATTTTATGATCGTATTGGGGTCAATTTAAATGGTGCAGCCGGCAGATTTGCTCTGTAACTCGGAGAAGTGGATCGCAACAGTGCCGAATCAATTTTCAAGTACAAGTCTGAGCTCAGAGGTGGTAAAATTCACTCTTCAAAACTGAAATATGGCTCTAGGAAGTTGGGTTTTTAAGTGGATTTTCTGAGAATGTGTGGTTACTATAGTGACCCTATTTGCAGAGAAAAAGATAAAGAAAAACATTTATTAGGACTTTAAAAACTAACCCAGGTGGTTTGCAGCCCTCAAGGAAACCAGCTTAGGATGTACATGTTCCTCCATCCCAATGTTGAGATTTCTTCATTTTAAGTTTCTCTGCCTGAGTATTAGCTTAAGAACAAGTAAGAGAACTTTAGAGGGACAAAGAAAGTGAGAATCTAAAGATGTTTTCAATACTTAACTACCTCCACGACCAATGGCATTATTTTAACGGGATGGTTGCGATATTCAATAAAATCTGCATTATATCATCCAGAGTGGATTTAAGGAAAGAAAGTAGACTAGCATAGTTTATTACCAGTAAAGATCAAAAATAGAATGAATTTCCTGATTAATCCTGGGTTAACCACCTCCTGACTTGCTCCTCGTTCCTCCACCTCAAGTACAGTAGTAAATCAGCACATTCACAAAAGGCCTGAACTACGCCTCCACTTCTGCCAGCCAAGAGTAAAGCCCTTGAAGGTTTCCAGGGCAGATTCCCTCCCAGAGACACTGAAGAGCCTCAGATCCATGCCACCCTCAGTACCTGGCAAAGGACAGCCTCTCCTCCACAGGCTCCAAAAGGCACTTGCACAATCATCCTGTCCTTGTCCTCGTTCTCCAGGTGGCCCTGGAGCCTTCCAGGGCTGAGCTGTTCTCCAGGGCCCTCCTCGTAAACGCAACCGCTGCTCAGAACACTGAGCCTCACCTCACTCTGGTCACTACTGCAGAAAACCAAGTTCTGGACTGTCCTCTGCAGCACAGCCTTACTTGCCACCTGAAAGCCACCAAATGTGAAGAAGGACGACAGGCTGAGCACCTTCCCTCCCTGAGAAAGATAGGCCATGAATTTCCCGTACAAGTCTTCGGGGATAGGCTCGGAGGTGGCAATGACCAACAACAGACAATTGTCTGCCCACGGGTCCCTGAGGGCACTTTCCTCCAGCAGGTGGTAGAGAACATAGCTGTCAGTGTCCACACAGTCAGCGAGAATGGACCGGACCTGCTGGAGCCGGTCCAGGGTTTCCTGGGAGCTGGAACCTACGTAGAGTAGGATGTTGGGTGCCTTTCCTGTCCTGTTGACTCGTTTCCCTTCTCTCGCAGGGACAATCTCATCGGCGACATCCTCCACACCGCTGCTGTGATCGTAGGGAAGATCCGGAATGTTCTCTGCAGATGCAAACTTGACCGACTCAATGGTGCTGTTCTCAAGTTCCAAACACTCATGGCAACTAGACAGGTGGAGATGATAATAGTCCATGGAGCCTCCTCCCCGCTCACTCTCCACAGCGGGCTCGCTGCCTCTCCTCTGCTTGCAAGAACCTTCGCTGGGAGCCTTAGGGTCATCTCTGCCGGTGTGCTTCATAGCATCCTGTCCACGCTCAGCCTCTCGGGAAGGCTCAGGGTCCTGCTGCAGGGCTTGGGTGTGCCTGTCCGAGGCTTGATCCCTGAGTTCCTTCAGAGTAGAGTCCTGCAGGTGCACGGCTAGAGCACAGGCAGGAAAGACCATTAGTCAACGCTTCATGTGGCCCAGTTCAAGAACCTCACTGAGCTTCCTGCATTCCATGGCTGACATTCCAGGACAGCCACCTGCACGGCTCCCACCCACGTCCTACCAGCTGAGAGGGTGCCCTTGATGACCCCAAATGACAATTCCAGTTCCCACAGTATCTTGCCTATATTCTGAGAACCCCAGATCCTCTCACTGACTGGTGGAAAAGAAGAGATTTGAGAGGGGATCTTTTGCTTCCTTACTTCCAGATTCAGTTTCTCAGGTGGTATTCTACATGACAATAAAACTGAGAACTAAAACGGACACACGGATGGTCTACCCAAGCATGCCCCAGGGAAGTCACGCTCAGGACATGTCATATGGTCAACAGGGAGAAGGGTGTATCCAGTATTTAATCTCAGGATGGGAATAGAAATTTTCAGTAATTAATTCAAAAACGTTTACTGAGCACTGGCTACTCCTCCGACAAGGCACTAGATGCAGGCACGCTGAAAACTGGGACATGAGATGGTTTACACAAATTTTCAGAGCGGATGAATAATGTTTTTATGGGATACAAAAGGCAGCTTCCACGGACACAGACAGCCTGTGCGTAAGCCTCAGGAGGAACAGTTCACGTTTCCTGAGAAAACAATCGGCCCCCGCCAAATTGTGATATGCATATTTAAAGTAAAAAGCTGTTAGATTTAGAACTGCACAGAACGCCGGCTATGCTTCCCGTCCATTCAGTACTATAGTCTAGAAACTGGCTGTTCTGTTACATAGTGTGGGATAGGTTGGTATGAGTTCTGGAAGGGAATGCCATCTCACGAACAGCGCAATTATGAAAAATCCTGGTTTAAGAAATCTAACAAGCACTAAAATATTCCACTCCCCCTCCTCCAAAAAGCCTTCCCACATGTGTGACTTTCATGCATCACGGTTAAGTCAAACCTGTTTGTTGGCAATTAAAATCGATGATGCACTGACTGCCCTTATGTCAGACACACGGGGGGTACACCCCCGCCCCCAAGCTAATAGCCGGAGATGTCCTGCTAGGATGAAACCTTTCCTGGTTACTCACACACGATCTTTTGGGGTATCAGTCCATTATCCATCTGGAGTTTGTCCTCCATGAACGCCACCCCCAGCTTGCTGAAGTTGTCCACGCTTGCTTCAGCAATGAGCCGGTAGGGATCCCCAGGCCGGCAAGCCAAGGGCAAGCAACAGTCGGACCACTTTACAACCTGAGAAAAGAGAGGGACGGGAGGACGAAGAAGAAGAAAGGTTGAGGTTTTTTTTTGTCTTTCAAATGACCAGGCACTGTATTTTTTTCCCTTCAGGATCCTCACACTAATTGCAGCCAGATGCCACAAGTTATTGGACACTGATTGCATTTTATTAATTTATTAATATTGAAGTTGCTTTGGCTCAACCATTCTCACTTCTACTTGACACCAGTACTTACAAAACACTAAATATAACCCTACTGATCAGAAGTGACTGAAGACTCAACTGCTTTAAGGAACTAAAAAGGGAAAGGGCCATTTCCCAGATGCTAGGAAAATGTAATGGCCTGCAGTAACAGAGCAGGGGACAGCAGGACAAGCCCAGGATTCCCAGTGATTGACAATGGAACGTGCCGGCCAGCTGTTCTCAAACTGAAGTCCAGGACGGCCTGCAGCAGAAGCACCTGAGCACTTAAGACGTCAGACCTCCGAGCACGGCTCCTGCCTGCTGCACTGGGCTCTGGGCTCAGCTTGCAGGAAGGACTCTGAATTGTCAAACGTGCTTTCCAGTTTGGAACCATGGCATCTTAGAGACTCCAGGGCTCGCTGTTGCTTTCAAAGTCAGGTGTGTGACGGCAAACAGGAGCAGCTGTCACCCACCTTCTGCCCCAAGCTTCCCACTGGGGGCATTATGTATAATCTTTAATGTCATTACCACCACAAACCTGGAAGATGATGGGTATCAATACTGTCATCATTCCTGTTTTGCAAACGAGGAGGCTGGAGGTGGCAGAGAAATGTGGAGGGGTCGCAGACAGTTCCTGTTCCCACCACAAGGGGGCCGGGGAAAGCCAGAGCAGAGGAAGCCCAGCCCCTTTCACCTTCCAGTTTGTACAAAAGGACTGGACAGGAGGGGGTGGAATCCCTATAACCTCTCTGAGGAATCCCAAGGAGGAAGGGGCTCCAAAAGGGGAGGAGAGAGAGCCAGGCAGGGGGTAAAAGCCTGTCTTAAAACCCACTCATCACCACCACCTCTCCCTGGGCAAGCCTCTGCTCCTCTTGGCTTCCCCATTTGCAAAACAGGAATACTTAGGGGCGTTCATACTCGTCATCCTACAGGCTTGTTATGGTAATGACATTAAAGATCACAGGTAATGTCCCCAGTAGCAAGCTTGGGACAGAAGAAAGTGTTTGATAATGAGAGCTGCCTGTGTTAGCTGTCACACACTGACTTTGACAGCAGGAGTGATCACTGGCATCTCTTCCTGGGATGCCAGGAATGGATGGTCCCCCTACTCTACAGAAGTGGCTTCTCAGGGTCACACTCTCCAGATTTCATAACCAGAGAGATATAATTATGAACTCCATTTTCTTAAGTTGGTGGGCAAAGTTTCTGGAACTCCTGCTGAAAATCACGGGAAAATGCTGGGTAAAATAAATAAGTACATAGACATCACCTAAAAAGCACTGAAAGGCTGTCAGGCTAACGAGGAACTACTAGGTCAAGTACTAGGATAAATCCCAAACCTACAGAAGGAAGGAAGATTTCCACAGCCAAGTCATATCTGCCCTGAAAGAATACGGTTACCCAGGAAACCCAGGCTTTAAGTCAAGGTTCAGGGCTTGTTACTGTGGCTCAAGTGGTAGGGCCTGCCTAGTAAGCATAAGGCCCTGAGTTTAAACCCCAGTACTGCCAAAAAAAAGTCAAGGTTCAACTGGCATAAAAAAAAAAAAAGTATCGACCAATGGACCAAAACTGAAAGTAGAGAAATAAGTCACACATTTATGGACAACTGAGTTTGGACACTGCTAAAACAATTCAATGAGAAATAACAGTCTTTTCAACGAATGCTACTTGGACAACCAGATATTCACACATAAAAGAATCAAGAGGGAGCCCCTACCTCACACCATGGTCAAAAATTAACTCAAACAGGGACCTCAATTTAAGAGGGAAAACTACAAAATCCTCAGAGGAAGAAAGTAGGTGTAAATCGTCAGAACCTTGGATGGATAGTTTCTTGGCCATGACACCATAAGCAACAAAAGAAAACCGATACGTTGAACATCATGGAAAATTTCTGTACTGCAAAGGATATTACCAATAAAGTGAAAAGACACCACACAAAAATGGGGAGATGCCTGTAAGTCATATATGAGCTCCTACAACTCAACAATATAAGGAAAAATACCGCAAATTTAAAAATGGACAAAGGAATTGAACAGACTTTCTACACAGAAAATTCATGCAAGTGGCCAATGAGCACAGGGAAATATGCTCAAAATCATTCGTTGTGAAGGAAGGGCAAATCAAAAGCACAATGAGAAAACACCCTCCGACTCAGAGCACGGCTGCAACAAAAATATGAACCATAGCCAGAGCTCAGGATGAGGAGCAACTGGAACGCCAATAATTGCTGGTAAAGTTGTAAAGGAGTGAAAAACAGTTTGAGACTTGGACAGGTGGAGTGGCTCAAGTGGTAGAGCGCCTGCCTAGCAAGCGTGAGGCCCTGAGTTCAAACCCCAGTGCCACCAGAGGAAAAAAAAAAGTTTCAGAGTTCTCAGAAAGTTAAAAAAGTTAAACACAGCAAATTCCACTCCCAAGTATATTCCCAAGAGAATTTAAAACGTGCCCAAAGATACAAAAACATGTGTAAACATGTGTCCATACATGTTCATGACAGCATTACACATAACAACCCAAGAGTACAAACGATCGAAATTTCCTTCAACAGATGGATGGATATGTAAGATGTGTATATCTACAAATAGACTATTAGCCAGCCACAAAAAAAGGAATGAGGGGAACTAATTAATTCATGGTACAGCATGGATGAATCTTAAATATAGTATACTAAGTGAAGGAAGTCAATAAATAAAGGTCACATATTATGATTCCATTTATACAGAGTATCAAAAATAGGGAAATTTATAATCAGAAAGTAGATCAGTGGTTGCCAGGGTTGGGGGTGAAATTAGACAGCAGAGATGGTTACACATTGTTGTGAATATACCAAAAGCTACTGAATTCAACTGAATCGTATGCTTTAAAAGGGTGAATTTTAGGCCGGCACACTGCTTCACACCTGTAATCCTAGCTACGAGAGAGGCAGAGATCAGGAGATCCGGCCAGCCTCCGGGCAAGACTATTCAAAAAATAACTAAAGCAAAAAGGGCTGGTTCTCAAGTGACACAGTGTCTGCCTAGGAAGTGTGAGACCATGAGTTCAAATCCAGGACCACCAAAAAAAGAAAAAAAAGGCAAATTTCAGGGCATGTAAATTACACACCAATTTTGTATGAGAAGAGTGGGCGGCTGACTATTTCCACACTTTCAGGATGGCCTGGTTAGTGACAGGACTCTCAAGTCGCACTTCCCAGACTTAAATCCTGGGCTCCAATGATTAACAGCTGTGTGCCCCGAGCAAGTCACTCAACATCTCTGCACTGCGTTTTCTTGTCTGCAAATGGGAGATGATAAGGGCACCTACCTGGGAAGGTTACTGGGAGAACTGAATGGGATAATCCATGAACTCCCTGGCCCACCCCTGGTTGGGGGGCGCTTATTATTCTAAAACATAAACTCCTCCGAGCAAGTATTCTCCGTGGGCAAAAATTGCCTCTTGGGAGTGTGGGAAGTGAAAAAAAATCTCATGTTACAAGGTTTGTGACCGTCCAGAGCTCAAGTACCCCACAAAATTATGCTTCTTGGTTTATTCCTTCCCTTAGAATTTAAACTGAATTACAAGGCTTAGAAGGAAAAATAATAAAAGCAGGCCTTTATGGCCAATCCAGTAATTGGGCTAGAATATGTGGAGAAAGAGAAACACCAGAATTTTCTTTGAGCTCCACTTGTAAAGCCTCTTCTCCCCCACCTCCAAACCACAGAGCCCTCGGAGGCTTCGCCTGGGGGCCCAGCCTGACCGGGGTGCCAGTAGAATTCCACCTGTTACAACTGACACCTTGACTGCAGGAGAGCTGCAGCTTACAACACAGTGGACAAACACCGTGTTGATTTCCAGCTTTGGGAATGGTGGGAAGCAGGTCATTTGCAGGGGATGAGAGGACAAAGGTTGGGTAAGAGGGAAAGCGCAAAAGAATGGCAGAGTCTGCATGAGGCTAAAGTGCCCAGCTACTACAGCCATCTCCGAGGAAGGGCAGGAAGTGCTCAGCCAGCAGAGACACAGCCAGAATGTAGTTGTGCAAACACTGAGCCAGCCTCCTGCTGTGGCAGGCACTGACTTTGTGTAAAAGGATCCAATAATTAAATTCTCACACACCTCCAAAGGAGGAGAGATGCAGGAGACAAACAAAGGAAGAGGAAGGACAGGAAGAGGCCAGAGAACAGTGAGTATTCTCGTCCCTGATCAAGTTTCCCAACTGCTTCCTCACCTAAGTGCACTTCCTTTCTGAAGGAATGAGGGTCCAGGCCACAGACCATGCAAACTCCTTCAAGCAGCGCAGGTCGCTCAATCAAAGCAAAGCTGCACTGTCACTGATACTTCATCCAGGGAACTTGCCTTCCAGCAGATAAAAGCAAACAAGACTTGAAATCTGCACTAGAAGATGGAGACAAAGGGCTAGAGGAAGACAGGGGGGCATCAAGCAAGACTTACCCCAAAAGATCAAAGCTAAGGAAGCTCACTTGGCCTTAACCACCGAGATTTCCTCTTAGAAGCAACAGGAAGAAATCCATCCAGTAAGCCAAGCTCTAGACTTGATGGCACAACTTAGACAGCATGCAGTGAGTACCTGCCCCACTCAGGAATGAAAGATCCCAGGTCCAATTAGCACGTGTGGTCCCTGCAAACAGCAGGTACCAGGCTAAAGTTCTGCAGTGCCTAGGAAAACAGAAATCTCGATGACCCAGTAAGTTGCCCAGAGTCAGACGCTTGCTGTCACGCTAACTTCTCAGATTGCTGTCTCTCCTCTTCCAAATCAGTTTAAATGCATGTTACCTTGTTAAAAGTTCTAGCAAGCCAGGCATGGTGGTACACGCCATTAATCCCAACACTTGGG